ACTGTCTCAAAAAACCCTCAAACCAAACAAAAGCACCCCACCCCCAAAACTAACATAAGACCTTAGGGAGAAAGTTTTGAAACACTATCAAATGATTTAAGAGAAGGTTTTAGTAGACATGTAGTGACTGCTCTTGCTTAGAATAAATTCATCCATAAAGATGTTAATTCTCCTCAAAGTAGTCTTTAAATGAGAACTTGGTTAAAATTTCTGCTGCATTTTTAAAAAAGAATATGAAAAATTGATTATGAAATTTATATAGAATATATGAAATGTCTATGAATTGCTGTATCACTTCTGGAAAAGTAGAGAAGAGAGGGTTTGAATAAAATACTGTAGAAATGACTCAAGAAGCACAACAAAATAAAAATCAGTGGAACAAAACAGAGAGCTCCAAGGTAGTTATTTGTATGTAAAGGAATTCACCTATGGCAAAGGATGCGTGTTTCATGGTATGTAGTGAGAAAACTGTCTAACCATTTAAAGATTTCTTACCTCCCATCATCCACAAAATGCATCAGAAGCCTTATAGAGAAAATTGAAAACCACAGAATACATTGAGGGGTAACCTAAAAGACTGTCTTTGTGACCTACGGACAGACAGAGACTTGTAAAAGTCTTGAAAAGTACAAATCATATAATAAATGATGGTGCCTTAGATGATTATCAGAATTAAGATTTCTCTTCCACAAAGGCCAAGCAAAGTTGCTAGATAGAACACAAATTGGAAGGAGAGTTTGCTATGCCTACAATCAAAATGAGAGCAGTATCTAAAATAAACAGCAAGCTCATTTAATCAACAAAATAACAGAGTCCACTGGAAAAATGGGCAACTAATGCAAATAGTCAATTTGAAAAAAGGGAACCCCAGTGGTTTCAAGTATCTGAAGAAAAATGAAAGTTACAGCAATAATGAGATGCCATTTAAAATCTCTGGAGGCAGGTAAATAACGTTGGGTACTACCAACTGCAGATGGGTAAATATGGAAGCATAAGCACCCTGGTGTTCTCTTTCTTCAAGTCAAGATGATGGCACTCAATTCCACCAAGCTGAGAGTGACTAATAACAGTGCAAAAACCTTATTTCTCATGTAAGATGGCCAGAATTAAAACTAACACGCAAGATCTCACTTACATGAAGTGTAGATTAGTACTGTCGTTTCAGAAAGCAAACTGGAAGCATTTAGTAAAAATTAACAAACTTACCCTTACAATCAGATAGACCTACTCTTAGGTAAATACTAAAAAGTTCTTTTAGAAAATACCTTTAAGATGGCTTGGATGAGGTTGTGTAGTGCTGTGATGTCTGATCTGTGAACAATTCGAGGCTGTTTAGATGACCATCATGGGGACTGACTAAATGAAATGTGGTAGGTAGGTACTCTGTAATGCTAAATTTGAAGCAGGGGCTATACACAGCAACATGGATAAATTGCAAGAAAAAGTAAGGAAGAGTAATTTCTATAAAATAAAATACCTATACATACGAAATAATGCAACTTGTTTTAGAAAGATGCCTACCTACTCAGAAATACATACTGAACACACACACACACACACACAGACACACACACACACACACACTTTCTCACGGGACTAGTGTGGAACAGTGATTGACAATGAATGAGAGATATGATGGATCTAAACCATTTACCTGAGAAGATAATAAAAACTCTTCTTTCTCCTACATAGATTTATATTTTAAAGAATGGACTCCCACTAGCGGATTTTAAAACATCAGCTAATGAGTGACAAGTAGATTTATTCATTGTCAGTAAACATTTATTCATCATCTGCTGTATACTGAGAACTAGTCTAGGTGCTAGGGATGGCACAGTGACAAGGCAGCAAAAGCTGACCTTCTGGTAGGGGGTTCTGGTTAGCCCTTCCTAGCATTAGACCAGGTGATTGCTACACAATCTAAGATCAACCGTGGGACCAATGTCTGGGACCTAAGAACACAATGTTGGTGTGACTCTATCTACAATGGCTATAGAACAGACATGAAAATTTATAAGGAGACCACCTAAGGGAAAGCCTGCTGTGACGATTAATTATTCAATGTATATGTCTCTAATCTCCACCCCTCCAGGAACATCTAAATGTTATATCTACACTGTCTCCTAGTAGCAAATGGTGTTCAGACTCTACAAATGTTCAGAAACCCACGTGACAGCCCCAGATTAGATTTTCGTTTTTTTGAGTTTAAGTCAAACTCATGAAATCCCAAGATCTTAACACTACCTTATTAACAGTTGCTCCATTGGGGCATATAGTAAATGGGAGTCATATTGCTGCTATTAAAGACTTCTTTGCAAATTTCCTGGCATTTTACTTTTCTTCATAGTTATTTATTCTCTATTTAGGGACAATAATTCAGCTAGTAAGTAGAATCAGGTTAACTCCAACTTTAGAAGTGCTATGGAATCAAAGTACCTCCATGTTCCCAAAGACAGTAAATTATTTAAAACCATAAATCTATGCATTCATTCAGTATGCTTTGATCAGGTCGTACCTGTGGGTGTAGCATTGCTGTAATTGTTGGACTTACAAAGATGTAAGAGACAGAGACTCGCCTCAAAAACACAATTCGATGATGTCGAAATTTATTTTTACATGGAAACAAATTTACATATGCTTTTCAGGTTTCCAAATAAACCAACAAAAGCCTATTTAATTCACAGAATAGCTTAAATTGAATGCTAATATTATCACACAGGGTTTTGGGCAAAAATAACCATACTTCATACAATAGGAAATCTGATATGGAAGAGTTCCCTCATTTCCCCCCCTGGGTTCATGAACAACCTCCTGAAATTTTTAGAAATTGTCTCATATTTTTTTAATTTAGAAAAATATTTTAAAAATAACAAATATTGTATGCATTTATGTTTACATAGCATGGTATTTTGAGAATTCGAATGTGTAGACACACTATGGAATGACTAATTGAGCTACCTAGCATCAGCACTAACCTACATACTTATGTATTTTTTTTTCTGAGCTTGAGGAGAAAAGTCCCGTCAGATAGTTTTCATGGCTTCTGGTTCATTCCTTTCCCCTAGGAATGCACACTTGCGTCCTGGCAGCTGTTCCCGCTCCCTGCTCCCACTCCTTCGGAAAGAACTTTCTAGTTGAGCTTTCAGGTGTTCTTCGTGATTCAGTGTAATTGCAACGAATAGAAATCAACATGAAGCCCCTTTACTTCCAGACCTGCTTCTTCAGATATCCATCATAATAAAAGTTATCATAAGGCTACTTAAGACCAAAAATAAAAAACAAAAAACAGTGTTTTGAGACTTGTGTGCCATTTGGAGTTAGTGTAGATAAAATTTCAAGATGAAATTACTATGTGCTATAGTATTCTTTTATTAAAAAATACGTGTTAAGAAAAACTCTGACTGGATTGTTCACCATCAATATTTCCAAACAAATTGATACTGTTTATATGACTTTATGAAAAAACAATTTTATAATTGCATCTATCATAATTGTTTGAGCACTTAAAATAGTCTCTGAATGGAAAGAAAACACTGATGACATTAGCCAATACTCTTATTTTTTGCATTTTTTAATTGAATTTTTCTCATTTTCATACACTATAGTTTGGTGGCCTTTAGATTCGCTCCCCTCTCCTTACCCCCCCACTGTCCCCTGCCCCCCTCTCTCTCTCTCTCTCACACACACATGCACACACACAGATATATATATTATGGCCTATAGAGTATAATTTGTGTTCCCCAGTGTTCCCCAGTGTGGATCCATTCACTGAGCCCACCAAGAGTCCCAACTCTGTAAGACACTGTCTCTCCACCACCATCCCAGCAGCCATCAATTACCAAAAGTTCCTTAGGTTGGGTTTGGATTTCTTACCCACTTCCCCACGTCTATGCTGGGATTTTGTCTGGTTTGAGCTTGCATGGGACTTGTGCCTGCCGTCATCATTGCTGTGAGTTCTTATGAGCATCTGACCAGCTGTCTGGAAGACTGTTGCCTTGCGGTCATCCACCCTCTCTTTTTGCCTCCTCTCCCACAATCATCCTTGAGCCTTGGAAGGCAGAGATTTGAAATACCTGTGCTATTCAGCGATAAATACTCTGTGGCCTCTTGTTCGCTTCACATTGGCTAATTGTAGGTCTCTATGTTACTCTGTCTATTTGAGACAGGGTCTCCCTGTAGCTCCAGCTGGCCTGAAACTCAGTATGTAGACCAGGCTGGCCTCAAACCCATAAAGATCTGCCTGCCTCTGCCTCCCAAGTGCTGGGATTAAAGGCATGCGCCACCACATCCAGTGATGCTACACTCTCATTTTAAAAACTTAATTGTAGTTTAGGGTTCAGTATATTAAAAATGAGACAAAGTAATTTTAAAAATTGAAATTATCTCCAAGTTTTCAGTACTGCTTATTTGAAAGCACAGATATAGGACATGGGCCCCTTACTCTGGTCACTTCTAAAGAGATAAGAATCTATGAAGTTGGTAGAAAAATAAGTCTGTGACCAAAATGCTACTCAGTTACTATCAAAGATCAAAGGCTGTTCTACTAAATTGGAATGCACTACAACAAAGCAATTGTTTTCTTTGAAAAACATGCAGAGCTTAGAAAATTTCTGGAATTTATCTGCAAAAGCACCTTCTGGGCCCTAATGATGACGTCTTAGGGAAACCTTTGCTTCTCAAGGTGGGAGGGCTAGAAGGTGGCGTTTTGTGGCCTATGGTTAGGTAGTTCTCGGAAGACAATACTGGAAATTAGACAATTGCTGATGTCAAGAAATCTGGTGTTCTGGTGACTATAAAAGCAGCAACTTCTACCTTTCGTATCACAGCAGAATCACCGAAACAGGTGAGTGTTTCAGCAAATCAGCACAGCTAGTTGTCTGTTCGGTGTGATGCTGCCTGCACGATCTGTTTTCCTCGTGCTGTTTTTGCCTCATGCTTGTTCTCCTCCTACCAGGTTCTCCTCTCTCAGCCATCCATTATTGCCACTCGTGTTGTCTGTGATGGCCCCTCTGCAGAAGCCTGGGAGCTTTCCCCTCCTGGGGGCTTTGGCCACTGGCTGCCTGCTTCTCATTGGCCTGTGGACACAGGAGGGATCAGCGCTGCCCATCACCTCCCACTGCAAGCTTGACAGGTCTAACTTCCAGCAGCCCTACATCACCAATCGTACCTTCATGCTGGCCCAGGAGGTACACATCCTCTCTCTTACCATATCTACCTAGGATCCAAGTACTTTCTATCATTTTCTTTGGAGTACCTGTAAGATCTTCAGCAACCCTTTACTTCCATAGGTAGTTTTCTATGCCTCTTTAGAGACTCTCTGAGGAGCTGATCTTAATCAGAACTTGTTTCTGCATCTAGGATACACACATTGAGTTTTAGCCACAGAAGAATCATTTAGGAGTCCATCTGATTCATTTTTCACTTTATTTCTCTGTGCATCGGTCTAAACTCATGCACATACCAAGAGGCCATTAGACCCTATGGGGGGCAGGAATCTTTACTCACAGGCTTGTCTTCAACCTCCTCAGTGTCCAAGCACTCAGGCCTTTCTTCTCTTCCAGGCTAGCCTTGCAGACAACAACACAGATGTCCGTCTCATTGGAGGGAAGCTGTTTGAGGGAGTCAAAGTAAGTTGTCATGGTGGCGAGCAGAGGGTGTATCCATCCAAGGTCAGCTAGCATGGTGGATGAATCTTCTGGTCTTCCTGTATTATGACCCCTGCCGCTTTCCTTCTACTTGCAGACAGAAGAGCACTGCTATCTGATGAAGCAGGTGCTCAACTTTACCCTTGAAGAAGTGCTGCTCCCCCAGTCAGACAGATTCCAGCCCTACATGCAAGAGGTGGTGTCCTTCCTGACCAAGCTCAGCAGCAAGCTCAGCCTATGTGTAAGACTTTCAGCTACATCCACCTACGCTCATCTCCTTTTCTCCCCTCCTGCTTCCATTTAGAGCCTCTCACTCTCCCTTCTCTCCTTCACAACCCCAGCATTGGCAGTAAGAAGGGCCTCAGCAATACTATTATCAGGAGTCACTCCAGTCAATCACAAAGTGGTTGTTTTTGCTGTAACTGAGTCACATTCTGTGTTTGTAGTGGTAAAGCTTCATTACTGTGAAAGAAAGCAATTCAAGTTATGTATAATAAGGATGTTGGGAGCTGTAAGAAAAAAGGACTAAATGTAGACATGGATCCACTAAGTACAAGTAGCTAGCGGGAGGGACTAGCACAGAGAAAAAGTGGGAGGGAAGGAGGGAGATGGGGCTGCCTAATGGAGGCGTATGGGCGAAGCTCTTTTTCTTTTGATATCATGAGAAGTGAGAAAATGAGTGTGTGAACTTGATGCCTCTGAATACTCAAGACTGAAACATGTCCATGGGGAGTGGACAGAATGAAGGGGACCTCGCGTTTATTGAGGAGGACCTACTTTTTACATGAGTTTTATGCTCATTTCCTGATCTGAGCTCCGACCTTTGATGAGGTGCAGTTAAGGGTTCATTTCTACTTTTCTTGCTACAAATGGAAACCTTAGCAGGATTTCCCAAAGATGAAGACAGCTCTTCTGTAAGGGAGGCACCTGGATTTTAGTGTCCCAGAGAATGAAAGAGCTCAGAGAATCTAGGTCACTCGTGAAATCTAGGTCACTGTGGGTAAAGTTACCGAATGCTTCACTCCAGGTGATCTGTCATATGCCTCAGAGGTTTTAGGCTACAGCACAAGATTGAGCTAGTTACTCTTGTTTTCATTTTGTAGCGCATTGAGGGAGATGACCAGCATATCCAGAAGAACGTTCAAGAGCTGAAGGACACAGTCAAAAAGGTACCATTGATAAGAATCAGTACCAAGTCATTCAACAGGAGAAACAAGTTGCTTTTCTTTCTTTGCTTTTCTTTCCCCCACCACTTCGTAATGTTTTACTGGATTCTTCTACTCCAGCTTGATTACTTAACTACACGTGCTTAGGCTGGGCTTGTATGTCTATCAGTTGATTTCCAAAGTTGCAAGTCATAAAATTCTAGAACTAGCAGAAAACTTAGGTCATCTAGTCTCAATATCCAGTGTGTGAAGATGGCTGATGGCAAAGCTGGGGCTGGAATTCAAGACTCCTGATTCCTAGCTCCGTACTACCTGACAGCTGTATGTAATTGTTTTAGTATTATTAATTCTTAGGGAAAATTTTGGCTTCTATTGACTTATATAACCTGAAGAAGCACTTGTTCAAAACTGGAAAATTGTCTGGGTACAAATTCATTTGAAGTGATTTTTAAGGTCATTAATTTGATGCTCTAAAATTTAACAAAATCAACCTAGAATAATAACAAAAGAGCTGGATTTGCATATAGGATGAAGTTTTGGAATCATTAATGCTAATAGCTATCTTTTAAATTGTAATGTAGTGCCTGATAGCTGTTGACTTGAGTTTAAAAGCCAGAGTGGATAACCCCCAGTATATTTTACATGGTTTCAAATAGAATGATCAAGGATTTATGATGATGAAATGGAAGCATGTACTGGAAATCTTTTTTCTCCCTCTGTTTTCTGCCTTGCTTTCTGTAGTCTTCCCCTTCCCATCCTCGACAAACCCCTAGTGAGCATCTATCTACTAGGAGCTAGTGTATACTTCTGCAGTGAACAATACCGTTATGTGGCCTCTTTGGGGAAAAGAATAGTAGGAGACTCAAACTAGCAAGGATGACTCATCCTAAAACCAGAAGAGTGACAGCAGTGAAAGTGACACTCTTCACAAGCAGGTGCGATTAAATCATCAGAAACATGAGGCTCCAGTTGATGGAATTTTCAGTATCACGCTTAACCTTGTCTCATTCCGTTTAAATTTTTTTCTTCTTAAGCACAGTCTGATAAATATGACTGTTTCTTGTTGAAAGGCTTTGTAGCTTTGCAATGCACTGCCGGTTCTTTTGTTAGAGAGCTATTACCTGGACACATGGGGCTGGACTTGGTGTGCCATACACACACATGCTTTGCGTTCTTGTTTTTAAGAAAACCTGTTGTCTGTTTAATGTGTTGCCGTTAGAAAAGTGGGGTGTGAGAGAGAATGATCTTACAGGGGATGTGATTTCTGTTTTGAGAGAATCAATTTCCACTTTTACAATGCATTATCATGTGGAAGAGTGATTATGAGCTTCCCCTGCAGTGCTACGAAGCATGGGCAAGAGAGAAGGGAAGTTGTTCAGAGAAAGCTGAACACCAGGGAAAGCTGGTTAGAGCTGTCTGAATGGGGAGATAGTCATGGGAAGTGTCAGCTCCCTGTCACAGGAGGAGAATGGACAGCAGGCAGGGGGAGAAGGTAAGCTATGAAATTCTTCAGAGTGGTAGGACCTTTTGAAATACAAAATAGCATCTTTTGGCCCCATAACAAAGGAAGCCTGGGAAGGCAGCATTGGGGAAGAAAACAGGAAAAAAAAGAACAAAACAAGAAGACTGCGATGAGAGAAGTTTTCTTGGAACAATTTAGAGAAATGCAACAGATTAGATAAATTTCAGAGGAAGATGCTTTGCACTTTGAATTGGGGTTTTGGCCTCCCATTGAGTTTGAGAGTTTCACCTGCATTGAACTTGGATGGAGAAGGAAAGTTAGAAAGTGCGTCTGGCGTCTTACTTATTAAAGCAACTGGAATGGAAATATTTGATGCTCTTCCTATAAAAATGAAAATGTGTTTTGTTTGTTCTTTTTTGTTTCATTCTTCTGTTGAGAAAGTCAGGACAGAAAATTCCCAAGTATATTGATAAATGTGCAGTATTGACTCCAGACAGCCTGAACTGAGTTCTCACCAATAGTTGGTGGCTGACAGACGTGGGGCCATGTGGCATGTGATGACAGGCATCACTTAGGATCCCCAGGTCCATATGGCTTCCATCTGCCTGGTCTGGTTAGGAGATGGGCAAACCTCTGCCTAGCTTTCCTGAAACCCCCACTAAAACTTTTATCTATTATTTTGATTAACAAATAATTGTGTAATTTATGGGATACTGTGATGTTTTGACCTATCTAAAACTTGTGTAAGATTCAAGAAGTCTGATTAACATATCTATCAACAATTTTATTAGTGTGGCATGCAACCGAGATTGATGCCCGTAGTGTCTGGTAGGTAGGATTCTAAGGTCTCTGGTGAATCACATTATGCTCATGCTAAAAATACTTTACTGTTGTTATTAATCTTTTGGAAAAGGCTGAAACTTGGTTTCTGTGCCCAGCAAGCTAATCACGTTATTCCTCTCTAACTTGTTCCTCCTTAGGAAACGTGATGTAAGTGCTCAAGTACGTTTGTGTTCTTATTTCCACAGCTTGGAGAGAGTGGAGAGATCAAAGTAATTGGGGAAATGGATCTGCTCTTCATGTCCCTAGGAAATACCTGCATCTGAGGGAGAAGATGAACACCTAAGCCTTTCTGTCCGCTAGAAACAGTAATAACGTTCTGGAAAGGCTTTTTGTTGTTGTTGTTGTTTTTGTTTTTGTTTTTCACTAAAAGGAAAATGGGAGGCCAAACTCTATCATCATGGGAAGATTCCACATGAACCCTGGCTGAGCTTAAAGAAAAATAATGTCACATTTGTCTATAAGACCTTCTAACCAGAGGCGGACCTTCTAACCAGAGATTTACTGAGAATGTTTTTTGTAACTGGTGTGTTATGCAATAGAAAAATAATATATTTAAACATTTGTTTACTTCCACAAAACAGATTATTTCTGTAGAAAAAATCCTAGGTAACTTCATATCCATAATCAATATTATAAGTAAAAATTTATTTATTTTAGTATGCATTTTATTTATGCCATTTTGATAATATAGACTTATTTATAGAAACATTATTTGATATTGCTACTTGAGTGTAAGGCTAATAATATTTATGACAATAATTATGGAAATATCTTAAGTTTCAATAAACACCTGAATGTTGTAAATCTTATATCTTTGTGTTTTTTTCTCCTTTAATATCAATCATCATCATCATCCTTTTATTTTGGGTTTTAAAGTTTTTGGTTTTTCGAGACAGGATCTTACTATATAGCCCTGGCTGGCCTTGAGCTCGCTATGTAGACCAGGCTGACTTCAAACTCACAGAGATCTGCCTGACTCTAGCTCCAGAGTGTTGGGATTAATGGCATGTGTCACCACACCCAGCTGTCTAGTCTTATCACTTTATATAGAAAATGAGTTGGCTATTAATATCACACTGCTAAACTTTGTCCCCAAAGGCCCATGTGTTCTCTCTCTCTCTCTCTCTCTCTCTCTCTCTCTCTCTCTCTCTCTCTCTGTGTGTGGGGTATGTGCATGGCTGTTTA